AGAAAAGGGCACTGACACCTGCACGGCTCAGCAGCAGGTGGAAGAATTGGCCAAGAAGTTCAACCTGGACGCTCAGGAGCCGATTGATCCCGAGTTTCCATGTGTGGACATCCGAGGTGGCAGCCCTCTATTTGGTCGTTTGGATTGGTGGTTTGGTACTTAAGGAGGGGTTTCCCATTTCTACAAAAGCTAGGGGTTCAAGTCAAAGAGCAGCTTCTTTGGAATCACTACATTGATCAAATGAGAGAAGATCCATTGACCCTGCCTCGGGGATCGGAAGGAAGGATCCCACTTGCCGGCCCCGACTTGCCGACTCCAATTGTGTTCTTGAAGATCATCAAGTGGGAGAAGCAACCCCTCCCAAAGTTTTGCAAACCATGAAACCCATCAGCCTGATTTCTGCATGGACATTGGTGAGAAACCAGCAGCTTGCTGCATGGCACGGCAAGAAACAACCGACATCTTTCCTAATTGGAGGTGTCAAGAAGTCGGGTCAGAACGTGGGCATCCCCATTCTTGTTCTTGCACGTGGAACTCTCAAAAGACCCACATTTTTGAGGCATCTCTGTTTTGGGAGCACCCCAGGTGTGTGTGTGTGTGTGTGTGTGTGTGTGTGTGTGTGTGTGTGTGTGTGTGTGTGTGTGTGTGTGTGTGTGTGTGTGTGTGTGTGTGTGTGTGTGTGTGTGTGTGTGTGTGTGTGTGTGTGTGTGTGTGTGTGTGTGTGTGTGTGTCTGTGTGTGTGTCTGTGTGTGTGTCTGTGTGTGTGTCTGTGTGTGTGTCTGTGTGTGTGTCTGTGTGTGTGTCTGTGTGTGTGTGTGTGTGTGTGTGTGTGTGTGTGTGTGTGTGTGTGTGTGTGTGTGTGTGTGTGTGTGTGTGTGTGTGTGTGTGTGTGTGTGTGTGTGTGTGTGTGTGTGTGTGTGTGTGTGTGTGTGTGTGTGTGTGTGTGTGTGTGTGTGTTTTGGGACCCCCCCAATTTTTGCTGGCTTTAAAGGCAAACCAGAAGAAAACGCACCATTTTGGGGGTTCTCCGAAAGAAAACAACACCCCCCATATCCGTCTCGCGAGGCTGCTGCCAAGCTGGCGGAGGTGCTGTCGAAGCGGGAGGATCGCAAGAAGGACCTGAGGCGCCTGTGATCACATGGGTGGCTCGTTTAAAAGGAAACCAACAGGAAAGCCATGGGTAGACCCCAAACATGGCAACGGCTTTCCGCTCTCAAATGATATGCTTGGTCTCAACAGAGGATTGAACCCCCGGGTGAAATGGTATTCCAATCCCAGACCTGCAGTGGGGTTCGCCCTGGGGCAAAGCCCCTTTTCACGATTTTGGAGTGGGGGTCCTTTCAAATCAACTACCAACCCAAAAAGTGCAACTTGTTTCCCATGATCCACTGGACTACTTGCAGTTCATTGTGCCTTGAAACTTCGAGCCGCGGCAACGGGTGATCTTGGCGAGCGTTCCAAGAAAGCCCGAGTTGATTCGTGGGCAGTGCCCACCATCAATCGGTGCGAATATTTCGCCTGCTGATTCACAGATTGGTGTAGACTCCTTTCGTTCCAGGTTTTGATTTAGTGGCTCTGAAGTGGCGGAACAACTCCAAGTGCTTGAATTCCTTTTGGGGTCCTTTTGGAGCCAACAACGGCTGAAATCCAGCTTTCGTTCGGCACCCTCAGCCCATCCAGTTCGACCTCCTGGGACAGAACAGACTGGTTTGGCGTCCTTTGATTTGACCAAAAGGGGGTTGTTTCATGTTTGGCCATTTTTGTTTTATCCTCAATGTGATGTTACTTGTTTGTGTGTTTCGTGGTTTTGGGGTGGCTCCAACATCACTGGCCCCCTTCCATGCATCGTCCAGGCAGCTCCAGAAACATTTGGAGCTGTCCAACCGGCCGTCGTCTCTGGCTGTGGCCTGAGATCGGCCACCGCCCTGTGAGACAGAATTATCGTTAACGTGGAGCAAGCAGTTGCCAGTTCGTCGATTTGGGATGGACCCAGAGAGAGTTACAACCACAGAGAGTTGCTTTTTTTTTTTTGGGGGGGGGGGGGCGCGATGAGATGGTAGCTGCATATGTTGAGTGAGCTGGAGATCGGAGTGGATTAGAGTAGCTCCAGGCTCAGGACCTCTGAAAGAGACCCGGATGGAGAAACCTGCGCCGGTGTCCATTTCGGGGCTCGGGAAGCCAAAGCAACAAAACCCCGTGGATCACATTTCGGCTATGGAGTTGGTTAGTTCAACTTCGAACTTTTGGGGAAACTCTGTGTTTCCTGCATGGAGGGAGCAACAAGGTTGCTTGTGCGGGGGGCAATATCCACGTAGAAAATGTGCTTGCAGTAGCTTTGCCGCAGCCTCAGGTGATGCTCATGCTGAAAGACATGCGATCTGGACACCCAATCAGAGATCCAGGGTGCCGTTGGGTGAAGTGTGCATATGCTGAGGTGCAAAACGTGCGTGCGTGCGTGAGTGCGTGCCTGCGTGCCTGCGTGCCTGCGTGCCTGCGTGCCTGCGTGCCTGCCTGCCTGCCTGCCTGCGTGCCTGCGTGCCTGCGTGCCTGCGTGCCTGCGTGCCTGCCTGCCTGCCTGCCTGCCTGCCTGCCTGCGTGCCTGCGTGCCTGCGTGCCTGCGTGCCTGCGTGCCTGCGTGCCTGCGTGCCTGCCTGCCTGCCTGCCTGCGTGCCTGCGTGCCTGCGTGCCTGCGTGCCTGCGTGCCTGCGTGCCTGCGTGCCTGCCTGGCGGCCTGCGTGCCTGCGTGCCTGCGTGCCTGCCTGGCGGCCTGCGTGCCTGCGTGCCTGCGTGCCTGGCTGCGTGCCTGCCTGCCTGCCTGCGTGCGTGCGTGCCTGCCTGCCTGCCTGCCTGCCTGCCTGTCTGCGTGCGTGCGTGCGTGCGTGCCTGCGTGCCTGCGTGGCTGCGTGCCTGCGTGCCTGCGTGCCTGCGTGCCTGCGTGCCTGCGTGGCTGCGTGCCTGCGCGCCTGCTCGCCTGCGCGCGTGGTTGCGTGGGTGCGTGGGTGCGTGTGTGCGTGTGTGCGTGTGTGCGTGTGTGCGGGTGCGTGTGTGCGTGTGGGTGTGGGTGTGGGTGTGTGTGTGTGTGTGTGTCTCTGTGTGTGTGTGTCTCTGTGTGTGTGTGTGTGTCTCTGTGTGTGTGGGTGTGTGTGTGTGTTTGTTGGTGTTGTGGGCTGTTAATTTGAATATCCACTGCGCTTCGGTTGGTGTTTTGGTGGTGTGTTGCTTTCAACACTGACTGGGCGGGGACCAAGCGAGAGGAGCCCCGACCATCTGGCATTTACATGAAGCTGCTAAAAGTGTTCGCGCGTTGGGTATGCTTACAACTGGTTGATTTCCGTTTGTTTCGTGTTTGAGGCCCCATCCAAAAGTATGCTGTTGGCAATGTTTGTCACCATGCACCACCCATCATCAAGGGACCCCCCCTTTCAAAATTGCGTGACTTAATGAAACCAAAAACAAGCGGAGTTTTCCTGGGAGTGGCTCGCAGCTTAGGGCCCGGGGGTTGATCGGTCCCAGACGAAAGCGAACCAAGTGTTTGTGCAAGCTCAGCTTGTTCTAGCTTTGGATTGAACGCTTTGGATCCGGAGGTCCATGCGACTTTTGGGTGGTTTCCCATTCGTCTGATGATCGGTTGCCGGAAATTGCGGTCCGAGTCCTCAGATCCTTTGAACCCGCGAATTTCAGCCGGAGGTACCCACCTGCTGTAGGGAGCCTGGCCCACAAGAGGGGCATGAAGGGCAACAGGACCGAGGGTCCTCGGTTTGACCTGCTAGCCTCGCTTCCTGAGCTCCTGGACTTGAAACTTCTGGGGGAATCTATCTTTTCAGCGGAAAATAATTTGTTTTTGTTGGATAATCCGCTCAGGATGAGTAACACCCCACGGAGCCTTTTCGTAAAGCCCGATTTGTTCTGCAAGTAGTATTAAAAGCCCGCAAGTTAGAGTCTTACTTTGGGGAAACAGGGGGAGGTTCAAGTATACTTGGCTGGTTCTGACCTTGCAACGATGTTTCAAGTTTCAGCACTCCAGCTTTTGATTGTGCTTGAAAGACGGTGTTTTCTTTGGGCGAGGTGATGCTTGCAAGTTGGGAAACAAAGGGAATCCTGTCAGAAAGGAACAATCGCCAAGAGAGAGCCATGGCTAGGTTGGGTAGGTTAGTACCTAGCCGCATGCCTGTTCAACTTGACCAACTCAGGGGTTCCGGGCTGACAGGTGCTTGGCGACTTGTCTCGGCCTACATTCCAGACGCTCTGTTGGTCGGTTCTAGAGGGTACGTGATATCCCCACCATGAGGCACATGCACTCGGAAGCGGCCCATGCATCCGAAGTCGGTCGCCGACCTCCTTGGAACCAGCTGCATGCGGGCGTCCATGTTTGAGACCCGGGCGGCTTGTTCAACGCAACCCTGCTTTGCTTGTGGAGAACCGGCTTGTTTTTGAGAGGTCACCCGCAGTGGGGCGGGGAATTCAAGGTTTGCTTTTGACCATGTCACTTCGGAAAGATAGCAAAGTGCTTTCGCTCTTACCCTCAGACCCTTCAATGGCCACCGAAATTAGTTATGGAATCATTCTCCGTGTTTCGCATTTTTAAGGGTAGTTCTTGTCATTCCCCATGTTTCCCATTTCCCAAGGTAAAGCTATGGGTAGTTTAAGTTCTTTTCAGGAGGGCAAAGGGGGCAACTGTGGGTCTTTTGCAGGAGAAGCCGCAGCCGGAAGCGGCGCAGGTCGACTCTCGGCTGGAAACGGCTTCTGGATACGTCCCGGGTAGATTGGTTCCGGAGATCCTTCTTTCCAAGCCACCCAGATCCCATGGAGTGCTGATGTTTGGAAGAACCATGGAAGCCCTTTCTCCCTTTTGGTGCTCGAGGGTTTTGCATTGGAAACACACAGAAGCTGTTTGATCGCTTCTTCAAAACCACCCCAGAAGTCGCTTGGGGACCATCCCCTGAAGCTGCGAAAGAAATGAAACAGGCAGCCAGAGAGAGGGGGACAGAGGGCGAGAGAGGAGAGAGAGGGAGACTGGGAAGGGAAAGAAAGAGAGAGCGAGAGAGAGAGACAGGGAGAGGAAGAGAGAGAGAGAGACAGGGAGTATGGAGAGAGCGAGAGAGAGATAGAGGAGAAGAGAGCAAACACTGGTTGGAACAAATTGCAGGGTGTAGGGAGGATGTGTGAGGACAAGCCCGCCGGTTTTTGTGAGCTTCGCCTTTTGGGTCACGTTTAAGTGGTCCCGGTTGAGTATGATCGTTCATGGTCTTGTAGAGGAGGCTGGGGACCCCACATTGGTCATGCTATCTTTCGATATGTTTGAGCCAAACCTTGCCAACCCCTGACGTTGAGGCAGCTAGAGTATTTTAGTCAAAGCAAGGAACCGCCCCAACCTCACAAAATGGGTTTGCGCCCCCGCCCATGAAGCCGCCTTTTCTGTAACCTCTCTTAGCACGGACCCCCAGGCGGTGAAACCTGTTAAGAAAAAGTCCCCCCGTGAAGAGTTCGGGATCCCTTGCATGGCACATCACATCCATTAGGAAAATAGTGAATAATGAATATAAAGGGCCGAATAGTTCCACACGTGAGCCAGCCCAATGATCGGGTCTTAATTTGACTGATTTGAGTACCTCGCAACTTCATTCGTTGATTTCCCTTGGGGTTCATCTCCAAGGGTGAAACCCTATTATTTCGGAACCCAGTTGGCATTTAAAGGGAAAGCATAAGGAACCCATTTTAGGTGAATCCGACACACCCATGTCTATGTTGAGTTGAAGTAAAAGGAAACCCTTGCCACACAAATGCGTCTGCTTTTGGGGTCAGCCCCTTTTTTGTGGTTTGAAAGGGAGGACCAAAAGGAAAATTACAGCTTCGGGGGGCTCGAAACGTTAATAAAAAAGAACCGATCGATCTCAGGAGCAGCAGCAGCCCACCGGTGCTGCGGAGTCCCATTCGCTCCAACGGCCCTGGGCTCAATGTCATTTGCGGGGGGTCCCGTACCAGGGACTCCCTAGAATGGCTTCGGTTTTCCTGGTGGGCCCCTTTAAAACAGGTACCCTCCCCTCCCCTGTGGATTGCGATTGCATGTCCCAGGCCCTGCGGATGACACCGCAGAAACGCGAAAACGGCGAAAATGGCGAAAACGGCGAGAACGAAAAAGGCGAAAACGGCGAAGGCCATAAATTTCTGCTGTCCGCAGCGTGTCGCTGGCGGCTGGCTTTCGTGTTCTTGTGTTTTGGGCTGTCCAGCATCTTTTAGCTGCAGTGTTGTATAATTATCTAGAAATCTATTTCATTCATTCAGTATTTCACGGTTTCACGCTTTCATTCATTCAATATTTCACGGTTTCACGCTTTCATTCATTCATTCATTCATTCATTCATTCATTCATTCATTCATTCATTCATTCGTTCGTTCGTTCGTTCGTTCGTTCGTTCGTTCATTCATTCATTCATTCATTCATTGGTTCATTGATTCATTGGTTCATTGATTCATTGATTCCTACCCACAGACCCCTTAAGCGACGGGAACCCTTCGCAACGCATTCGGGCAAGAAAATCGCGAACATGGGGACAAAGGCAAAAGCCGCGAAAACAGCGAACACGGCCATTCTTTCATTCATCCATTCATTCAGTCATTCACTCATTCATTCCATTCCATTCCATTCCATTCCATTCCATTCCATTCCATTCCATTCCTTGATTCATTCATTCAATCGGCGAACGCCGCGTAAACGAGAAAACGGAGAAAACGTCGAAACTAAACTGGCTAAGCCAGCTACGAAGGGCCAGAACGGCGAAAGTGGCGAAAACAAGAAAACGGGGACGGCGAAAACGAGAAAACGGCGAACACGTCGACACTTCACTGCGGCAAGCCAGCTACAAAGGGCCAGAAGGGCAAAAGCGGCGAAACCAGGGAAACGGGGAAACAGCGAAAACAAGAAAACGGCGAAAACAGCGAAACCGGCGAAACGGCGAAAACGGCGAAAACAAAAAAACCGCGAAAACAAGCACCAGCGGTTTGCCCTTTTTTCCTGTTTTCTGGTGTGTGTTTTTTTGGGCGTCATCCGGCTGGCCCACGGCGCACGATTGAAGTGCTTAGAATTGGCGCTCGATTGAAGTGCTTATAATTCCCCTTCCCCCCCCCCCCCCCCAAAGTTTTTGAGAGACATCACCTCACAAGACAGGCTACCCTTTGATTATTGGGGCTGTTTGGAGGGAACCCAATATTGAGACAAACCCGAAAGACCCCATCCCCATGGGCGTCGGCTTCCTTCTCCCTTAAAACGATCAGCCACTTGGTGGCAATTGGGAATCCCCAAGCTGGGAATCTCAACAGACAATTTGATTTTCCACAAGCACAATAAAAGCGAGGTCCCATCTGCTCAGTGGATTGTGTTCTTCCCTCTTTTACGGGCGGGCGGGCGGGCGGGCGGGCGGGCGGGCGGTGGGTAAGTGAGTAGGTGGGTGGGTGGTTTCTGAAATGAATCAGCAACAAGTGACGCCCCCAATTTTCCTTATGGCTGGGCAAGGTTGAGGGTGTGAATCTTTGCGCTTGGGAAGGCCTTGTGTGTGCAATGTTTCACATCCAAAATAAGTGTCCTCAAAAGATGAATACTGTAGTTTTTGTGTGGTTGTTGTTGTTTTGTTTTTAATTGTGCGTGTGTGTGTGTGTGTGTGTGTGTGTGTGTGTGTGTGTGTGTGTGTGTGTGTGTGTGTGTGTGTGTGTGTGTGTGTGTGTGTGTGTGTGTGTGTGTGTGTGTGTGTGTGTGTGTGTGTGTGTGTGTGTGTGTGTGTGTGTGTGTGTGTGTGTGTGTGTGTGTGTGTGTGTGTGTGTGTGAGTGTGTGCGTGGGTGTGTGTGGGTGTGTGTGTGTGTGTGTGTGTGTGTGTGTGTGTGTGTGTGTGTGTGTGTGTGTGTGTGTGTGTGTGTGTTTGTTGTGTGTGTGTGTGTGTGTGTGTGTGTGTGTGTGTGTGTGTGTGTGTGTGTGTGTGTGTGTGTGTGTGTGTGTGTGTGTGTGTGTGTGTGTGTGTGTGTGTGTGTGTGTGTGTGTGTGTGTGTGTGTGTGTGTGTGTGTGTGTGTGTGTGTGTGTGTGTGTGTGTGTTGTGTGTTTGTGTGTTTGTGTGTTTGTGTGTTTGTGTGTTTGTGTGTTTGTGTGTTTGTGTGTTTGTGTGTTTGTGTGTTTGTGTGTTTGTGTGTTTGTGTGTTTGTGTGTTTGTGTGTTTGTGTGTTTGTGTGTTTGTGTGTTTGTGTGTTTGTGTGTTTGTGTGTTTGTGGTTTGTGTGTTTGTGTGTTTGTGTGTTTGTGTGTTTGTGTGTTTGTGTGTTTGTGTGTTTGTGTGTTTGTGTGTTTGTGTGTTTGTGTGTTGTGTGTGTTTTTGTGTGTTTGTGTGTTTGTGTGTTTGTGTGTTTGTGTGTTTGTGTGTTTGTGTGTTTGTTGTGTGTTTGTGTGTTTGTGTGTTTGTGTGTTTGTGTTTGTGTGTTGTGTGTGTGTGTGTGTGTGTTGTGTGTGTGTTGTGTGTGTGTTGTGTGTGTGTGTGCGTGTGTGTGTGTGTGTGTGTGTGTGTGTGTGTGTGTGTGTGTGTGTGTGTGTGTGTGTGTGTGTGTGTGTGTGTGTGTGTGTGTGTGTGTGTGTGTGTGTGTGTGTGTGTGTGTGTGTGTGTGTGTGTGTGTGTGTGTGTGTGTGTGTGTGTGTGTGTGTGTGTGTGTGTGTGTGTGTGTGTGTGTGTGTGTGTTGTGTGTGTGTGTGGTGTGTGTGTGTGTGTGTGTGTGTGTGTGTGTGTGTGTGTGTGTGTGTGTGTGTGTGTGTGTGTGTGTGTGTGTGTGTGTGTGTGTGTGGGGGGGGCATTTTGGGTGTGTCTTGTTTTTGGACCCCCCCCAAAAAAAAGAAAACACAAAACAAGATAGAAAAAGCATTCAATAACAGAGAACGAAGCAACTACACAGAAAGAAAGTTGGTTGCCTTTGGGTGTTGTTTTCAAACCACAAAAAGGGCAACCCTAAAAACCCAAAACATACCCTCGTGATTATCAGGGGACGTCGGAGACACACATCAAAGCCTCAACCTTCCTTGGTGGAATCTCTTGGTTTCCTCCCTTCTCAGAATAACTCGTTCCCAACACAAATCGGACCCTCCCCCTGGGAGTTTGTTCCTACCGGGATCCGAGCCTGTTGCGTTTTTGTTTGCACGGATCGAGTTGGGTGACTCGGATCGTTCCTCTCAGGTGCCGGACCAGATCCAAAGAAGGCGGAAATCGACCGATTCGGGACTGAGGCGAAGAAGAGATGTGGCGGTGGTGGTCAATACCGTTTTGGGTTGGTAGGTGAATTCACCACCCATTTTAGGCCCGGGATTTTAGTGGTTGGATTGGGATGTTCACTGAGGGTACGGGGTTTTGGACCCATGGCCATGTCTTGTTTTGGGACCTTGTGTGACAGCTTGTTAAACTAGGCTTAAACTACGTACCTGGAAACCTGCCCGAAGAGGGTTTCATAACGGGGCGCCATTGGCCGGGTTAAACAGAGTCTTGCGGATGCAGCTTGGGGTGTCGAGCTAGTTGGGCTGCTAAAGGAAGCCCAGAGTTTTTTTCCCGCTTCTTGTTTGGGTCCGCCAACAGTCAATCCGGCAAGATGGTGTTCAACCACACGCCCTAAGGCAAACGCCAAAGTTGATGTTCGATAGTGGGCATGTTTCAACATTCGTGAACACGTTTCCCTGTTTGCGGGGAGCTTTGAGCCTCTCTTTCACAAGGGGCCCAATGCCAAGGCCAAGAACATGCCGGATTTCTTATTTTGTTGCCTTCCAAACATGTGTAAAGAGTGAAGCTGGGGGGAGTCCGGGGACCAAAAGAAGATTGCCACATCGACCCTACGTGTCCGTCAGCGAGGGGAGCGGAGCGACTGGCATTTCCGCAGGTTGCGCCTGGCAGAAACCCCCGGCCGCAGACTCTGCTTGAGCGCTTCGGCTGACACTCCAAGCCTGAGCGCTTGCGCCACGGTAGTTGGACTGCTTGAACTGTTGCAGTTCAGTCAAAAGTTGGCACTCTGTGAAGTAATTGTTTGTTGGAAGCTTCAGTTTATCCCAAAGCCGAGCGAGCTCAGCAAGTCAGGGAAAGCTGTGCATGGCTTTGTTAGGGAAGACAGGGTCGTTTACAGGTCTGAAGCCAACTATTGCCCTTCCACAAACAACCATGGAAACAGAAAGACAGCTCTTTTCACACATGTTTACCTTCAACGGTCCTTGGAAGAGTCTAGCAAGTAGCATTAAGGGGCAAAAGCTGAGGTAGAGACCCCTCGATTGCCCTTCAACAGCTCTGGTGTGCGTGGGAAAGCAGTCCGAAGCCGCCGGCCAGCTTGAGCATGTTTTCACACGACTCCCTTCCATTTGTTGAAGAGTTGGTTCTTCAGAGTGATTTTTTTTCTGGGCGCGAAAGGAAGACATGGCTTGACAATGTCAATGTTTTCTGCACATTTCTGCACCGCGAATGGAAGGTTCCAGACCGGCTGCGTGCAATGAAAAGCAGCGCTTTGCTTGGGGTTGATTTTGGTCGACTCGACGCGCCGACGTGTCGCCCGCGCTCGATGCGGCCGTGCGCCGGCACGGGCTGCGGCCGCGAGCAACGCCGGCGATCGCAAGCAGAACGACAAAGCCCCGTTGTGAAACTTGCAACGTGTTCCATACGCAGTGGCACAGCGTCAACCTTCAAGGTTGAAAGCACATGAGCCCGGTGCAAACAACATTCCTTTGGGGGTTGTTCAAGTGGGAGCAAGCCGATTAAACTAAGGAACCTCGCAAACCACCTGTTCGCAGCCAACCATATTGGCGAAAAACTGCAATAGGCAGAACCTTCAACAGACTTTCAAGCAAATGTCACACACCGTATAAGATGTTTGTTCGCATTCCGCTCGCAAAGATTTGGAGTGAGACTGCCCACTGTGCTTCTTTTTTTGAAGCCAGCTACTGTACGTCAAGAAAACTCTCCATAGAGAAAGCTGGACCAAGGCTTTCTCGTGACCTGGGATGTTGAGAAACCAAACAGACATGTAGAAATGGCGTACGCCAACAGCGCCCGACATCAGTTCCGGGCAGCAAACCCGGAAAAGCCATGCAGCAGAACCGGCAATGGGAGGGTTCTCACCCCCGCATTTTGCCGCATGAAAATGGTTTGCCTCGTCCGCCGAAGTGAGCCAAAGTGGACCTGTGGATTTGAAAGTTCTAAGGCCGGTGAAGTGCAGAGCAGCTCCGCATCGCCTGCAGTACGTACCGCGAACTGCGCCTTTTCGCACCCGGATGTACGGAACAAAGGTGCGCCCTTGGCCAGCAGCCGCACATGCGGCAGCCCGGACGGCGTTGGCAACACCCTTCTGAGGAGCCCTCGAAGCCACGAGGGCTGCAATCCTGCGGCAGTCCTTCCTTAAACTGGGTAGCCAGCCCATATCTGGGCCTCGGTGTGGCGTTTGTATGGGCCTCACACCCAGCAATACAAGCAGAAAAGGCTCGCATTGCCTTTAGCTGGCGGTGGTTAAAATGGAGCCTTTTGAGAGCTCCTCGAAATGGTCCCTTTTGCGGACCCGTTCCGAGCACTGCAACCACCCGCTCATTGATTAGAACTGCCGATTGCGCAGTTTCGTAATCACGCCAGCAAGCAGCGACTATAGTTAGCCACAAGCAAGTTTAGTGCAGCTGCAAGGATGAGCAGTGAGAACATCGAACAGAATCCCACACACACACACACATGCACACTCGCAAGAGAACAAACAGGGATTTGTTTCAAGCAGGATAGGACCTTTCAAGCTGGATCAGGCTTAGTTAACGTTTCTCATTTCCAACATAATCAAGATCGCTTTTCATGCATCATGACCATTGGGAGCATGGTCTGTCGTTTCTTCCATCAACTCTCCGTCGATGCGAGTTGGAGTGAACCTGGATGCAATCATACTAGTTTTGTTTGCAAGCCTTTCTCTCACCACAGGCAACACCACGCCAGCCGCCGAACTCTGAGATCCGTGTCCAGTCGCCCACCTGGCGAGGCGCCGCACACGTGCGTGCACGCAGCCGCTGACGCGCTGCGTCACGCTTCGCGACGCTTGCCAATGGCTCAGCTCGTTGCGCTGGCCTCATGCAAGGCTCAGACGCATTGCTCGAACATGTCTGAGCGGTGACGCGCTTTCAGCCAACCTGGTTGCAACTGCGTTGTGTGCAAGCTAGTTGCTTGCCCGCGCTCGTGAGCTCGACCCCTTGCATCGCAGGCATCTGTCACTTTTCATGGGCCTTTGAGTGCGAGTGGCGAAGCTGGGGCGCAGGCCTCAGCTCCACGTTGCGCCGCTCCACCAGCTGCGACCCGGAACTTGCAGGCATCATGTCGGCCCGTGTGTGTGAGCGAGCTTTCCACGTGGGCGTAGCTCACTGACGTCAGGATTGCGCTTGCTTCATTTAGTTGTGCTGTCGCATGGCGCCTTTTCATGACAGCCTTGCCAACACTGGCATGTTTTCCTAGAGGGGCAAGCTCGCAATTTGCTAAAAAAGGCAATCGACCACTGTCATGACAAGGTCATGACACAGCTTAACGGCAGCCCGAGCAGCCTCCTCGCGTTTCCCATGCGTTCGCGCAATTTTGTCGGCGCCGCGCTCAACATGGCGGTCGTGCCAGCCCGCTCGGGCGAGCATACTACGTAGAGGTCATCCAAGAGGAGTCAAAGCCGTTGCCGGGTTGGAACGCGGTGTGCGCTCGGCGCAACGCGCACAAGGGCGGGCATACGCGGTTCATTCTATGGCCCAAGATGCGCAAGCAATTTTTGACTTCAAGGATCTCAGCTGCGTTGCGGTCGAACAACAACATATCTCCAAACCAGCTAGGAAGCAACGGAAAGCGAAGCGACCGGCGGGTTTGTGGACCCGCCCCCAAAACGGAGAAACGGAGGCCGCACGTTGGGCTGCAATCCAGGACGAAAACCGGAAGGATAGGTTTTTCGTGCAACGGCCTCCGCTACAGTGGCCGGCTTGGGCACCGGCTTGGGGCGAAAGCTGGGTTGTAAAGGGGTCACGGCTTTGCACGGGGAAGCTCCAAGAACTCTGGGGTTTTGAGCCTTCTCGGCGACGCCAGAGATGCTGGAATCTTTTCAGAAGAGTTGGATCCAGTACTTCGGCATGCCCGAACAGATCCGGATCCGAATTGCGGCTGTGCCGACTGACCCGGGAATCACGCTGCCCCCGGCGCACATGCACGTCGCCTTGCGTCGGCGCCTGCGCCTTGCGCTGCCCCTCACGCACCGGTATTGCGGAGGCGATGGGTTCCCGGGGTGCGGCGCCGTGCTCGATGTCTTGGGCGACCATGCGGCGGCGTGCCCGCGCAGCGGACTGTTGGCACGCCGCGCCCCCTTGTTTGAACAAGCGTGGGCCCGCGTCGCGCGTGAAGGTCTGGGGCCCGAGGGCAGGGTCGTCCCTCAGCAGTGGTTGGCCAACACTTTTGCGCCAGGCGTCAGTGTGCAGGACAGGCGCCGCTTGGATCTTGTTGCCGCGCGCTTAGGCGAAGCGCTGTGCTGCGACGCCACGCTCGTTGCTCCGCTCCGTCGCGACGGCCGACCGCAGCCGCGCGTGCCCGAGGAGGACGGCGCAGCCATGTGCGGCTTAATTGTAAACGCTTCGCGTTGCCCGCCTCGGCCCAGCCCTTGGGAAAAAAGGGCCTCTTTCCGGGGATGAGCATTTTTAGTGGGGCTTGGCCTCCATAAAAAGGGGAACAATAATTGGTGTCACTGAACAACCAAGACCAACTTTGGGTGTTTGGGCACCTTCATTTCACGTGGCTGGCGGCTTGCCATGACATACATTTCTTGCTCGGTTGCTCAGCCCAAGACAGGTACATGGTGGGAATACAAACCTCCATGTGCTTAAGTACCCGGAAAAATATCCTTACTAGTGATAGTTTCCCTGTAAAACCAACAGGGGGACATAAAGAATATTCATTTCAGCAAGGATTCATCTAAAGACACATCCTTCGGTCCTTCAGGATGAGAACCGCAACAAAAAACCTACCGTGTGAATTCACCTAGCAGCTTTGCAGTTGGTAGCTGGTGGTCATTTGGCTTCTACTTACATGTTCCTTCAAACACCTGGGGTTCCATATGTCCCCTTTCATGTAAGGACCCCTGTTTAAAAGCAAGTTGCCCAAGTAAAAGGTCGTCACATCAAGTTGCAATCGTCAGGACCCTTCAAGGTCCAATACGGGAAAGCAAGCCATAGGATGACGGCCCTTAGGCCTATGCCCCGTGGTCACTCAGACTTTGCAAGATTGCACGCGCATGTACGATGTAGCCGTTAGAGGCTCCAGAGACATGAGGCGCGAGCAAGAGTGGTTCGCGTGCGACCGGTGCACGAGGTGGTTCCGGTCTGAGGACGCGCTGTGGCAGCATGAGCAGGCAAAGCACGTGGATGAGGAAGACGAACAGGAGCCGAAGAAGTGTGAGAACGAGCAGGAGCCGTCGTCCGGGGAGTACACGTACGAGACGTGCTACACGTACGAGTCGGAGGTGGAGTCGGAGGCGAAGCCGGAAGAGGGGCGGACGGAGGCAGAGGAGCGGGTCTGGTGCCAACTGGACGAGCAGGCGCGCGTTCAGATGGGCCAGCTGAGGAATGACGAAAAAAAGACGGTCTACCAGAAATGCCAACAGCAGAAGCAGCAGCGGAATGTGTCGGCGTGCCTGGGCGGCAAGTGTTGGCTGGCATGAACATGGCATGATTGGCTTCGAGTGTTACATCATTACAATCAGGTGTTACACCAAATGGCGACAACCCTGCCAAACCCTCACCCCCAGCGGTCTCAGGTTTTCAGAAAGTATAGGGCGATTCATACAACTAGGAAGTCTGTGATGCACTGCAACATAGTTCGCATTGTAAGGCCCGATGAACCGGCCGAGGGCAGACAATGACTTGGCACATCCTTTGAACTTGAAGCTGCAACAGACCGAAAATACCTCAGAGGGTCAGGGAGCAAAATAACTCCAAGAACTTGACTAAATGCAGATGT